ATTGTTCTTGATATCCTATCTTATTAAATTCATTTTCAAATTCAATTTCTTTTTTTTTTCATAATTCTTTTAATCTTATATGATCCTCTTTTAGATCTGGGTTTTTTTTATAAGTTTTATCAGTCATGATAATAGCTATAATAATTCTTTAGGTCTTAATTGTATTCTTTTCATATTATGGTGACTTAAATATAATTATCATACTTGGGGTATTTTAGGTAGTTCCATTTATTTAGAATAGTCAAAGGCCATTTTGGAATTATGCCCTTTTATTTAGGCTATCTGTATATATTTCCTCTAATTTATAGAAATGAAAAGGAAAACATAAAATCTCGTGGGATTCCAAGTAATTTTAGCTAACAAGGGTTATTGTATGTGTTGACCCCCGAAAAATGTGACGCTTACCTGGACGACAGATGTCAGGCTTACTCACGCTAACTCAAGCAAATTTCGACGCGTTTTGATACTCACCAGTAAGAAGCGGGGTGAACGTGAACGCGGGAGATGCTTTAGGTGTGAGACAAAAGTGTTCGAATACCGACGAGTGGAACAAAGATGATTGCGCTAACAAAAATCACCAATCGAATACCAAATTAAATCAATAAAAAGATCAAACTAATGTATATGGAAAAAAAAAGATGATATGTATAGAATTTGTAAGATCATTTGTATTAACAAGGATCAAGGGTTCAAGAGTCTGAAGTCCAAAAATCCAACCCTTTTTCCAACCCTTTTTCAGTTACAAGGATGGCTTATTTATAGTGCTTTGGCCGACATGGTGTTTGTTGGATCAGAACCACCACGTCGGCCTCATCTCTTTAACCGATGATTCACATCATTGTCTATCATATAATAAATGTATTGACAATGGGTCAGTCGCTCTATACAATAGGCTGACACACCTTATATTCTTTATTACTAACGTTACATCAATCATTTTTAAAGATTATTTAAGAATCTTGTAAGAGACAGCTTCAACCTCATGAGTTTCAGGTGAATTAAAGGCCTCGGAGGAAGGTCCTCCGTGTGAAGAGCTTCGGCTTCTTCTATTTCTTTATGCAGCAATTCAGATTAACGCATTTCAACCGTTTAGGCAATGCTTCGGCTTAAGAGTTTCAGTCATTCATATAATTTCTTCATCATTAATCATTGGGTCTTCGTTGGTGAGGTGTAACAATAGTTCCCCAAGTCTATACATGATTATTTATGTAATGCATGGACTTATATATATACGCGTGAATTTTTTTGTTAAGGGTGATTTTTACCATATCACAATGTGCTTTGTTTTGAAAATCATATCATATAATAATTATAACGTACATTGATAATAAACAAAGAAAATGCAAAGTTAAAGTTGTTAATTAAAAACAAGTATATTAGAAACTTGTTGAGTTATATGCTAAAAATTGAGACAAAATATGAACAGTAAAAATAATCAAATACATATTTTTTAAAAAAATGAAACTTTTTGTTAAGGGTTAATTTGACATTAATATATGTTATTTTATGAATACTTTAAGGGTAATTATGTTACCACCACAAAATTTACTTACTACACCAAATATATTTTTTAATAAATGCACCACAAAATATTTACAATTATACTCCTAATCCAATAAAGAAAAATATTTATGAGTACTCACCATCTTAATATTACTCTTCATTTTTTTCGTTGATATACATCTATTGGAACGTATTCCATTCTCCTCTCATTTCCATTCCTTCCCATTGTACACAAATACATTGGTGTCTCCAAAATAGTTTCATCATGAGGGTGAAAGTCAGATATATCGTTCTGATATGGGTTTCAATTCTTTTTTTAGAATTCATACTTCTTTGTTTGATAATTGAGTTT